CAGTCAGGTTTTATTCCAGTTTTTTCCATCATAAAAACCTCCAAGGACAGAATTACTCCACAGCCTCTCTGGGCATCCTATTGCAATGCTTAGTTATCGTCATAGTTCAATGTTATTCACAAACTTGATTAATGTGCATACCATTTCCTCCTACAGGTCATTGGTAAAGATATTAAGATATTAAGTAGGATAGGTCTCAGGATAAACCCCTGAGTAACTGCAATTGGATCTAGCCTACAGGTAGAATATGAACCATTACTTCAATCCCAGAGTCCAGACACTTTTTGCTCATCTGGTAGTGCATCCACTAGACCACAATGGCCAAACTTGGATGCAAGAGTGCTGGAAAAGACCATATTGAAGATGGTCGCAACATTTGCCCTCCTCCATTCATCTGGGACTTCTTCTGATCTGCATGACCATGGTGATAGAAAATAGCCTTGATGTGCCATCAGCCGGATCTCTCAGCACTCTCAGATGCATCTCATCTGCTCTCATGGACTTGTATGACTCAAGATTTCTCAGATTTCAAGATTTATGAGATCAGTCCTTTTGTACTGTAGCTATTTCCTCTTCTTCTTGAACCCTGTCTGTATGTGTAGAGGCCTGGGAGACCTTGTTGGTGAAGACTGAGGCAAAGAATGCATTGAGTAACTCAGCCTATGTGTGTCTGCTGTGCTTTTGCCTCTGTCAGCTGCAAGCCTACATTTTCCTTTTTTATTCTTATCATCTGGCAGTAGAAGTTCCTGTTGCCATGTTGCTTGCCAATTTCTACTATAGCTGAGCTTCAGTTTTCCCAACATCATCCTTGCTTGTCTGGGCAATGTTTCTGCATTTCTCCTTTGTAGCATTTCTCCTTGCTTCTGTCTCTTTCATGCGTTCTTTTTACAGTCATGAATTCTCTTTTTAGCCAAACCAGACTCCTCATTCATCTACTTATTTTCCTCAGTATTGTGATAGACCATTATTTTGTCGGTGGGAGTTAGTCTTTAAAGACCAGGTCTGTTGAGCTTCCTTGCTCTTCAGAGCTGCCTGTCATAAGATCCCACCTATCAGGTCCCTGAATAAATTGAGTTCTGCTCTCATGAAATCCAGAGTTTGTACTCTTACTAGGGTTCCGCATTCCTCTCAGGATCCTGAACAGCATTGGTTCACAGTTCCTACAGCCAAAGCTGCCACAGATTGCCACCTCCCCAGTCAGCTCTCCCTTGTTTGTAGCAGATCGAGTCAATCACTCCATTTGATCATCTCATATCTGTGTTAAGAGCTTGTCCCTAGCATCCCCCACAAGTCAGCTATATTGCTTGTATCCTGCTTTGTTTGCCTTTTAGCAGATGTCAGGAGGTGGGAGTCTCCCATAGGAATCAGGATCTGTCATCTGCAGATGTCCTGAAGTTGCTCAAAAAGACTTTTTCAACTTCCTCCTTCTGATGAGGTAGTCTGCAACAAAATCCCACCATGATGGGATTCTTAGTGGCTTCTCCTCTGTTTGCAGCCCACCAGCTCTCAGTCTGTCTACTGCCTGTATTACTGAAGACCTCCGTATCTTTGAGCTCCTTCGGGTGTTCATGTTCTCATAAAAACAGGCTTCCAGGTAGGAGAGAGTGACCCAGATCAGTGCTGCCACCAAGATGTCTGCAGCGTGGACTTGAGAATTACCTATTCTGCTTGGCCAGCACACCCTCTGGCAGGCCATTTAGCACACAGAGCTTGGGATCAGACACAGCATCCTGCAGTTGAGGGCTATGAAAAGGAGATGGAGGGCTATGGAGGAGAGATTAGGGAAAATATTGGTAGGCACACTGGTCATTTTCGAATTGGCCACAATGGACAGAAACAGTGGAGGTAAAGTAGTAAAGCAAGTGGTCAGGGCACCTTTTTGTCCAAAATAATACAAGAAGCTGGTCAGAAGGCATGTTCCTTTCCATTTGACTAAAAACGGAAAGATTTTTTTAGTGTTGCTTTTATAATACTCTATAAACAAGCTGTTTGAAAGTGAGATTTTCAGACAAGGAACCTGCAGTGAAGGGAGAAATCTGTTCATAACATACCCTCTTGTGCCCAGATATTTTAACATCTGGAATGTAATGCTGCCTGTTGTAATGCCTCTGCAATACTGTAACACAGCAGGATACATTAATGAGAGTTTCAACCTTAAACCCACAACATCAATGAAATTTATAGTTGTCAGGCTGTTAACATTATTCAAGCATAGTTTTTGTGGTTTCAATTCCCATTTTACATTCACGTAGGAAGAAAAGTCGTTGTATTGAGTAGCCATGAAGACAAGAGTCCTCCTTAGATTTGAAATTTCTATAAAACAATTAAGTGTTGTTTGTTACTCTTGACAGCATTCATAGTATGAACTATAGGGCTGAGGGGAGGGTACGTGTATAAAAAATTGTGCTAGAATCTGTCTCGTAATATTTCAGCTGGTTTAATGTTCTTGAATACTAAAAGTGCCTTGCTCACGTTTTGGAAAATACCACAAAAATGTTCAAAGCAGAAAAGAAAAAATTATGTAAAATTCTAGTATCATCTTCTACGGTCATGTAGAAGCCGTCTGATATTCTTTCTAATGGTTAAATTTGTCTTCAGACGTTTCATGTTTCCCTACTTTTATATCTCAGTGTGGTCTTTTGACTTAATATGCAGAGCATATGAAGGCAAAAATTTCAGGAGGAAAATGTGGTAAGCACTGCGATTAAGTCACTTTGCAGAAAAATGAAATTGTTAAATCTGCAACTGATTAAGTTGAAAGAAAAAAAAGGAAGTCAATATGTAAAAAAGTGCACGTACAGTTACTCTTTCTGGTAAGGAAAATACAAGTTGTTTCTCCCAGAAAAAAACTAACAAGCACACAAAATTTGCAAAGCTCTGGAGTTTGGGGGGACAGTTGTGTGGAGTTTTTTTATTATCTTAGGCTTCATGGTAATTCCAGCACAATCTCAGACAGCAGTAAAAATAAATCTGTCTCTTGCTGTATCAGTCTGAGTATTAACAATTTCTCCATGTTGTGTCCATTAAAGAATTTCTTCATGGCCCTTAGAAGTACAAACTCGATCTCTGCGTTTAAGATGTTGTTACCTGCTGCCAAGCCTCTAATAGCTACATACATACGTTCAGTTAGTCGTATCTCTTTGTTCTAGAAGCCTGAGTTCTGGATTCATGATTAACTCTTCTCCCTGCTCTCATTATTTTCCTCCCATCATGGTTCTGATTATTTTCCTCCTATCATGGCAGCACATGACTTTTTGCCAATTTAAAAACAAACATTTGAGTGGAAAAGTAACAGAAATCAGTGTATTTTGACAAAGCCTATAATCTCTTCCTAACTGTGCTTCCAAATTTAAATCAGATCTTCATGCTGCAAAACCATGAACTTGGTGTTGTGACTGAAATCACACTGTTTCCAGAAGACGGGGATGAAGCCTCGTGGGCGTAAAGAGCTTCGGAGGATTTTCCCCTAGGTCCCAGTGTAAGAGGAGATATGTTTTTGATGTTAAAGGTTGGTGGTAGATGGGTGAGCCTGGTCTCAGTGTGTAATCCATAGGGTCTAAAGGAAGGAACTGTAGAGCTGTATTTCGCATGAACTGGAAGGGGACTGGCAAAGAGATCTTCTGGCTATCGCTCTTTGACAATGCCTCTCAGATTCAGGAGTAATGTGGGAAAACATTGCGGAGCCTGTTGCGGCTTCTGTCAGTTTGGGTTCGAGTATTGCTAATTAGCGAAGGCATTTGTGGCCCAGACTTTGCTCGGGCCCTCCGATCGCCTCCCATTTTGATCATTCTGAAAGCAAGTCAGCCATTTAAAAGATACTCTGAAACCTTGGGGGTCCTACTTGCACTCTGCTACTGACACAGCCCCAAGAGCTGCTGAAGCCCTGCTTTTCGCCCCATGAAGCCGGGGGAGTGGATGGTTCCTTAGCGTGTCGCCCACCTAAAGGCGTGGGTGGGTGGGTGGCTGGGGGACACTGCGGCAGGCAGCTGGGCTCTGCTGCCCACGGGTGCTTGCTTGGTTGCAGAACTTGAAACACCTTTCATACGTATCTGAAATGCAGAGGAAATAGTTTTGAATGGTACTTTTTGCTGATTTGGCCTGCCCTTATCTCTGAGACAAGATCGCTTTTGTATGAGTGAACAGCGTGATATTTGTGCCCGTGTTAGACGTGGGTTTGTAGGCTGTAAATCACTTTCTGGTTTTACCTTGCTGGCAACATCATGAATATCTATTTTACCTGTTAAATAACTCTTCCTGAAAATATGAAATGGAGGAGGATCGTGGGCTCTTTTAAAGTGGCTTGGACGAAGTTCTCACGATAGGTTTTTTTTCTTCTTTCTTGAAGTCTAGCGTTGACTCATTTGGTGGTGTTAAAGTGCACTTTCTACTTATCCCCAGAGAAAAGTTAGTATTCTTTTAAGTGAAACTATTTTAAAAGCAGAACACAAGCCTAAAATAAGCCAGTGTTCTCTAGAGTTCTCAGAAGGTGTAGATTTATTTACTGTAGTTAAATCATAATTAGTTCTCAGGGGATAGTGTATCTTTTAAACTGCTTTATTGCCACCATATTGGTTTTCTAAATAATCAGAAACTGCTGCTCTTATATTCTGTAGTATGAACAAAAATTCGCTGTAAGTAGAAACAAATGTCTAGAATTGCTAGTTGTCACTTACTGAAGATAGTGACACGCAAAAAATAAGCACTTCAAGAAAACGTGAAGAAATACAAAATGTATGTTACCAGAAGGCACCTTAAATGAACTATGGCTATAACTTTTTCCAGCCTAATAGCTGCAGTAATGTTTTACATGATCATTTTTCAGTTAATCTTTTTTTAATATTCTAATACTTTTTGGTCAAGAATAAATGTTAACTGAGAACGGATGAATGGTAGTGCAATGTTAATGTAAAATATTACCTGATATTTAAGCCTCAGTTTTCATGAATGTAGCTTAGTGTTCCAGCTGATAAGCATGGGGTTTTTTTTTTCCTAATTGGCAGGTTAATGTTTGAGTTGCCTGAGGAGATGGGTTTAATAGCAATTGCTGCTCGACAAACACAAGGGAAAGGTGAGTAAATTTCCTTCTAGTGCTAGTAAATGTGTATTAAACATATGATATAGGGCATTTTAATGTCGCTTAGCTGCCTTAAAGATACATTATGAGTATTTTTGATAATATAATCTGTAGAATAATTGTGTCCGCTTCTCCTCCCACTTGAACTGTGGAAACTAAGTTGATGAAGACCAAAGTAAACATTTTCAGCATATTTGGTGGCTTTTGCAGAAATGATTTAGTGGTCTAGCTTCTGCCAAAAAGTCTCTCCAGTCATGGAAACTGCCATCACTATGTTTAGTGTAATACAAGTCAGACTTCCAAATCAAAACTCCTTTCTGACAACTGGAACAAGATTGGGTCTTGACTTGCTCTGAGATAGAGGTTTCTTGAGTCTGCAGGACCTGCTTGAACCGTCATGTGGGCTTTCACAATCTTTTGCAGATAAATACCAGCAAGTTCTGTCTCTTTCCCAGGAAGGAGCTAGCACTGATTTAAAAGCCACATTAATTTTATTAGTAGAACACAGTGCCCAGTGTAATAAGTTCTTCTGAGCACAGATCTGCATGAAGATGGTTACCTGAAATGTGTATGTTAGCAGATACCGGGAAAATCCTGGAAGCAAGTGATATAGGACATTCTAGGAAACTGAGTAGCAGCATGCACATTAAACAACCTGCTGTTTTTTAAAAGAAAAAGCTTTGCACTTTAACCATTTTTCTTTCACAATTAGTTTGGAAACTCCATTACAGGACTTATGGTAGATTCTTGGATGGATACTGTTGAATCTTTCTCTTTTGTAGTTGTCTACATTAACAAAGTGACCTTTTTTTCAAATGTTTTTTTCTTGAGTTGAAGTTAACCTTTTTTCTCTCCTTCCGCAGGTCGTGGTGGAAATGTTTGGCTCAGTCCTGTGGGCTGTGCACTATCCACTTTACATGTCACCATTCCTCTACATTCCAGCCTGGGCCAGAGAATTCCTTTTGTCCAGCACCTGGTGTCCTTGGCAGTGGTAGAGTCAGTTAGATCAATACCAGGATATGAGGTATCTCATTCTAATTGATCTCAAAATTCCTGTTTCCATTTTCATTAAATTCAGTTTTTAACTAGGTCTCCTATGCCTAGAATGACTGAGTGCATAATGCAGTTCTTCAGCACTATTATAGTGGTAAACTTAGCCTTCATATATGCTTGATTATTTATGTGTTTTAAGAAATCTGGTATACATATGATGAATACTGTCTTTTATTGAGCTGATTAAGTGTACCGCGCTCATTTTACTCATAATCTTGTGAAACTTAAGACTTGGTGTTCAGCAGTAAAGAAAATGTCAATTTTGTTTGTCTAACAATTGAGTTAATTTGTTTTGATTTTGAAGGAGCTGGGGAAGAGGGAGGAGGGCAAAATGAATAAAACTGACAAATAGTTTTCTGCTTTTTTTGTTGGTGCTGTTTCAGCAGCCACTTTATCCCTTTTAAAGGATTTTTCCAACCCTTGTTTAAGGTTGAAAACTGATTTCTAAAGCAAGAACTTAGGACTATTGCTCTCAAGAGGGAATCAAGTGTCCTGTCATCAGTATTAAAATGAAGAACCAGTCTTCTTCATCACCTCATATATCTCCTTTTTAATGTTACCATTTCCTAATATTTGCTAACTATAAAACTTTGGTATTTTACAGAAGTAGTTAACTAAAGCATATGTTTCCTATATTACAGAAAATCAATGACTTATACACATTTACACATGAACTTTATTATAGTGGCACCCAGTAGCTTTGCTGTAGTTTAGAGTCTGTCAGCCGTTCTATTAAAACCTTCTAACTTCAGTGCTTCATAACTTGACTATAAAAACAAAATGCTTCAGGCTAAAATTTGCAATATAAAATATTTGGCTTGGGTGAATAATTTAACCATTTAAAATAGAAGAGACAAGAGTTAGTTTTATAAAATATGAGTCTGACTGAGGAAGGAGTTAGTTTAAGAATAGAGTTGGTTTTGCTTCTGTATGCCTACCCTGATGTACTGTGGCATTTTTTATTTTATTTCATTGAAGAGGAAAAAGGTGACTGAATTACTGAATACTAATATAAAAACAGTAGGTGCCAATAATATGTTCACTGTACACAGGCAATAAGTATCTTCCTATAACCAAGACAAAGCTGCTGAATCTCTTTGACAGCACGTCCACCCTAGACAATGAGTGAAACCAGTGTTAAGGGTCTGGACTCAAATATGTTAAAGCAAGGAAATTCAAAGATTTATCAAGAACTCAATGCTTAAATGTCCCCTTCAGACTTCGGTAATGCAGGGCTTTTCTTTATGTGAGATGGACATTCGTGCCATACAAACTGCAGTAGCTGCAAACAGTGGGCGAATCTATAGATGAGGCTTCATTCTTTCCACCAAATTTCCACACCTCTGTGTGTTTATGTCAGAATCTTAATAATACTTTAATGCACTTTAGAGTTGTTCACAATGCTCAAAGTCCATTTAAGGATTTCTGTTCAAAAATCTGAAATACCCGTGTCTTAGTTTATCAGCCAGTCATGATTTTTAGGATTGTCACGAAGGTTGACTGTGCTAAACTGGCGGTGACGGAGGCCTTTGTTCTGGGTCCTCACGGAGAAAATCCGACCACTCAATGGGAAGCGTTGCTATCGGGTGTTAGTGCTGCAAATGCAAGTGGGCCTTACATCAAGAGAGCGCTTTGCTTTCCCGTTCTGAGAACAGCAGACATCTCTCTCTAGTAAGCGAAGATAAGAACGTGCTCCGTTTCCAGCAGATTTTGTGATACCCAATGTTTCTCTGAGACGCAGTACCTCATGACTCTGTTTTGTGGCGAAGTCACTGCTGTGTAGTTTATCTCATGAGAATACCCAGCTGACTTAGTGTTCTTCGTGCTTGCTGTCACTTCAGTTGCAGAGCCAGTGTCTGGTGTCTTGCAGATGTGTGTTTGCCTTAAGTAAGACCTACTTGCTCTGCAGAATAGAGTAATAATAGCTAATAGCTCTTCAGAAGATCTCGTAACGCTGATAATACTGTGTAACAGTCTCATACTTTGCCTGTCTCAAGAGTCTTCTACTAACCTTTTCCCGGTGCAAAGAGTCAAGTTGTTTTCCGTAATGAATATGAATTGGTGATACTCTCCATTAGAATGCTTTGATAGCAAAATCAGGTAGTGTTTCCTGTCAGTGTACGTGTAATGGACTCCTCTCTGGCCTTTAAATCTGTCAGGAAAGTAGACATGGACCCAGGTGCAGTTTTCACACATCCTGTAAAGGGATTTCATAATCTACAATAGGAGGGAATGCGACTCTTGTAGTCTTGGAGCACCTCCCATAATTTGCCTCTGGGGATACAGTCATACGCAGTTTTTCAAACTGCAGGAAGCACATTTGCTTTCTTTTTGTGTTTAAGTAGCCGGTGCAAAGTTCAGTTCAGTTCTGTGGTTTCAACAAAAACTTCTCTATTGCGCTGGAACGGTGTCACACAGCACAGTTTGTGTTTCCAGCTCCGTGGGGCTGCTTGAGCGTAGCTGCTGAAAGCGTGAAAACATTTAGGACATTACTGAAGTATTTACTTAGTTGTGAACTGGAATTTCTGCTGTCTGCTGAATTTCCTTTCTGAAATTCAAGATGCCATTGTCTCCTTGTCCGATTTCTGCAAGGATCCTCAGATACAGTGTTGATGTTGTTGTGGGCTTACCCTGACTGGTTATCAGCAGTGAGCCAAGGTGGCTGCCACAATTTGCATCTTTCTTGGACAGATCTTTTCAATCTTTGATAGGTGCTCATGAACGAAGAAAATTAATTCTATAAAGCCTCACAGTTTTGAGACTGAAAATCTCTAGTGTCTTTGGTCCCCCTGCCATAATTTTTTTTTTCTTAAAAAAATAGTTTTTTTCTTAAAGAAATAGACACTTTTCTCTGACAGCTGCCAACCTCCCTAGTAAACCGTGTAATCGTGTTGCTATGACTTTTTCAGTAACGTTTGTGGAGCCCTTAAATAGGTTCTCATTCTGAAGAGCAGTTGACAGTATCACATTTGGTGTGGCAAAGAGGTACAGAAAATATAAAACATGGAGTGATAAATGAGCTGTGTTCTTATAATTCATATCAAAGAGCAAAGTGTTTCTAAATGTGTGGTTTTGTTTCTTTAGGATATTGATCTGCGAGTAAAATGGCCAAATGATATTTACTACAGCGATCTTATGAAGCTTGGTGGAGTTCTGGTAAACTCTACACTTATTGAAACAACATTTCACGTACTTATTGGTAAATGTCTGTTTTCAAGCTTTTCTATACTTTTTTTTTCTGAAGAAATTTGTTATTAATGTCTTTATGAGTTGAAACGATAAGGACAAGAACAAATAATGACAGCAGGCATAAGGAAATAAAGTACAATATTAAATCAAAAGGAAGCACAAAAAGTAAATGTTTTCATTCTTCTTAATAATTCCATATGCTTGACAAGGAAATCATAAATGCAAACATCTGGACTGAAGTAGTGGATTTCAAGGAAAGACCGTTACAGGATAGAGGGAAAATGTCTGCTTGATCTACTGCAAACCTAGTAGAATATACTGAAAAATGTATCCATTTTTTTCATATTTTTTTTTTCAACACAACAAATAGTTAAATAAACAACATGCCTTTGAAATCAGGATAAAAAGAGCTATGTACGCATAGTAACATTTTAATAGTAATGTTCTCCTTTCATCCCTTAAAAATTTATTCATAACTTGTTTCTGTTGATACCTTTCTAGAAAGTCCAATATTGCCAGTGAAGCAGCAGTGAAGTAATGGTTTAATTAATTAATCACTTTATTTAGTTCTCTCAAAAAGTAATATTTGCAAAGTGGTTGGGAAGGCCTGGGTCAGGGACCAAAGGGTGACAGGTCTGTTTATTCATTGTGAAGATGCACCGTCTGCCTGGAAAGCTGGTTCCAAAAAAGATAGCACAGCCAATCTGAAAAAGACTGTACATGTATTTTCCAGCAAGTCTCAGTGCTGTAACAGGGGAGACATTTAGGTGCACAAATAAATATTGAGAAGTTTTTATCATTTCAAGCCTGATATTTGTTAAGGGAATTTTTTCCCCTAACCAGCAGCAGCACAGATCTGTCAGACATGCTTAGAAACCGGCCAGCAGAGATCTAGGTTCTGGTTCCAAAAATAGTTATCTTTCTGTGCCTAAAAAGTTAAATGAAAGTTCCTTAGCAAGTCTAAAAGGTTAAGGAAGACGACGAAAATATTTTATTTATGTCTGAATGTAGCACGGTAAACAAGTAAACTATCTTGCAAAGAGAGTGTGGGATACCGTTTCTGTCAAGGTGCTGTAAATTTTAAGGCGTGAACAAGCAAAACATAGAAGTAGTCATCACCTCTTTCTGTGAAATATGCCGGGCCATTAAATATTCTGTTCAATTGTTATCTCCTCATTTTGTAAATAATCTACATGTACAGAATGGAAGTTGCACCGAGACACTTAAAAAGTCTCTCTGTGCCCTGTCAACCATTTATTGCCTCCATATGTTTTTTCCAGAGCCTGTTCTGGTTAACACAAGAAAAGCAAAAATGGCTCCAAAATAGTTCATCTTATCAAATATCTCTATTTGTTTTGGACCTTGTGTTTTCTACCCTAAACACCAAAACATTCAAATTCAAATGGAAACTTTCTGTATGCATTCTCTCTGAAGTCCAGAGGAGTCATCCTCGTGGGGAAAGGTCTGAGGTATGTACAAAGATGTACATTTTCATCAACTTTCTTTCACCTGGAAGCTTCTGAGAGTAAAACTTCGTTGCCACATACTAGTCCAAGGATCTTTTCCATCGTTTCAGTGGTGTATGCCACTGAGAGTAGGAGGGGTGACTCATGACATCTAAAGTCTCATATTGGTAGTAGCAATGAGATCAGACCTCCACCACAGGAAGGGTAAGCCAGATGCATCATACCCTTTCCACAGTCGTGCAGATTCCTTTCCTAGGCCTTGCTGTTCAGATGGCACTCATGAAGAGTATTCCGTATGTGAGGGTAACAATCAAAATCAAGGGTCATCTACATGGCTTCACTGCTCTGTGAAGTATTTCAGAAGACTAAGGCAAGAGGCAAACCTGCTTTTTCACCTCTACCATGTGCTTGAGGCCTCACAGATTACACAGTTCATGTTCATACTTATAAACATGTTTTTAAAAAAATCATTTTTTTTAAGAATTTAATTATTGCGGGACTTTTGGAAGAGGAGTTCTGCTGAAGAATATACTTCATTAATGTGAGGGCCAGACTCAGAACAGACCTAGGCAGTCAAACACAAGTGGAATGGAAGGGACAGCCAACGCGCTTGACCTGCAAAAGCTCTGGCTGCCTCTGTGTGCAGCTAAAGCGTGTCCGAACAGTGCACAGCTGCTGAAGGCAGGGCTAGCCCTGGGATGTGAAGATATATTGGCCACATCAGCACACTGCAAGATCAGTGCTAAATGTTTATTTTTCACTCTTCTCACATGGGTGATGCAGAGATGCCCTATGAGTCCTCAGCACCTGATATCTTTCAGATGTGCTGGCTGCATTTTTGCCACCAAGTTTATCCCCAGGTGCTGCTCCCTCAGCTGAGCTAGTGGTCTCAGTGTGTCTTTCACAGCTGTTTCAGTTTTCAGGTTGCTCAGTGGTGATCTCCAGACATACACGCCCGAGTGCCCTGAGCCTGCGAGTGGACTCCACGGCCCCGTGATTCTCCCTGGCAGTGCCAATCACAGCTGAATGGCCACAGTTACTCTCTTTGCTTGTACTGTATTTGAGTGTAACCCAATGAGTTGGGAGTTGCTGGTATGGCACATTGCATTTTCCAGTTCATTTTGCATTGTCTCTTTCTGATAATGCATTTCTCCTCATTTCCATAAGATCTGTGCATTGGTGCTGGTATCACCGTGGCTTTCTTTGCATGCATTCTCTGACTAGTTAAAAGTCAAAAACTCCTCTTCATGGAAGTGAACCTTCTCCTCATAGTTAATATAATTTACTTTCATATATTAATATTCTCATTAATAGCAAATTTACAAAACATTGCTTCTGGACCTGCTTGCAGATGGAGGTGTATTACATCTAAACCTGATTGACAGACTAGGGTTTTATCCCAGATATCTGAGGAAAGAAAAATCCAAATTATTAGGAGAAAAAAATAAACAGGTAATACAATATATTTTTTACATCCCTTGAAGTCTGTTTCAGCAGGCTGCAAAAAAGGCCCCAAGAGCTATGTTTAAATAAGAAAGGCGTTCTGCCAACGTTATTCTAGCTGGAGAAATCTCAGCGAGAGACTTGAGGCTTCTAAAGGATATGCTGTGGTAAGATAGATTAAGCAAACTGGAGTCTTACACAGCAAACCCAGCTCTTCTGGGCTTTTCAGAGCAAGCCAAACAAGGCACATCAGCTGAGTAAAAAGGCTCGATTTTCAGAAAATGCGATCAGCTAACTGGAGTAAACAGAAAGGTCTCTTGCTTAAATTTTTGACTGAAAGATGAAACTCCATCTTTGATCAACGATTTACTCTCAATTAGCTAATGACCTGTCAGCTTCCAGGGAGTAACACAATTTCTCACTTTGATGTTATTGTAACCAACATGCAAGTTACTGCTTACCATCTTCCTAAGCCTCATTGATAGGACAGTGTGTTGTTGAAAGAACTGCACTGGATTTGCTTCTACAATTTTGAGGAGGCGTTTTAAGGGTGAGAAACAAGTGAGATATAGACTGTGATTTGTAATCATGCAAGTAGGAAGATTTAAAGATGTAAGAGACTGAAGAAAGACAGCTACTGGAAACCTCCTTAGAGATAATTGCATCAAGCAGTTGAATAAAGCACTGACTTTCTGGTGGTAACAAAGTGTTCGTATTTACAGATCCTGTCCTCTTTTGGTTTGTCTTCTTCAGGCTTTGGATTTAATGTGAATAACAGCAACCCCACCATATGCATCAATGATCTCATCACAAAATTTAATAAGGAAGAGGGGACAAAGCTGAAGGCTTTAACTGTAGACTGTCTTATTGCAAGAACTGTAACCGTGCTAGAAAGGCTTATAGATATTTTTCAGGAGAAAGGGCCCAACGGAGTTCTTCCCCGTTACTACAAGTACTGGGTACACAGGTAAGTATAACGTTCTCTTAAGAAAGTTGGAAAGAACTCATGGGTATTTTGTCTTTTTCTACTTTTTCTACTAGATTGCCTTTGAAACTAATGACTTCATTAAAATATACTCCCAGGTAACATGTAATTTTTTTAAGGGAGAATAAAAATAGCACATAGTACAATCAATGGGCTGGCATGAGTTAAAGAAAGCTTCTGGTTATTTTATATGTATCATCTCAAAACAAAGGGAATTGGGAATGATTTGTTTAGCTAGTGATGAAGCTGCTGTACTCATGTCTTTTTATAAAAAAAAAAAAAGAGACTGTTTGGATTCACTCCAACTCTGTTAATTCCACAGAAAGAAATTAAAGCATGAAATCATTCTCTGTAAAGAACCAGTGAAGTGGGAAATAAAAATATTCATAGAATCATAGAATCATTAAGGTTGGAAAAGGCCTCTAAGATCATCAAGTCCAGCTGTCAACCCAACACCGCCACACCTGCTAAACCATATCCTGAAGTGCCACATCTATATGTTTTCTGAACACCTTCAGGAATGGGGACTCCACCACCTCCCTGGGCAGCCTGTTCCAATGCCTGACCACTCTTTCAGTAAAGAAATTTTTCCTAACACCCAATCTAAACCTCCCCTGACACAGCTTGAGGCCATTGCCTCTCATCCTATCGCTAGTTACCTGGGAGAAGAGACCAACGCCTGCCTCACTGGACCTTAGTCCCCTAAGCTATTTTTAATTGGTTGTGCAGCGTCCACCAGTTCATTCCTAACTGTCTGGTTCTCTTTGTTTGCAGTGGTAAGCAAGTCCATCTCCACAGTGAGGAGGGTCCGCTTGCATGGATAGTCGGGATAGACGATTATGGGTTCCTTCAAGTTCATGAAGAAGGCAAAGGCGTAGAGTCTGTGCACCCAGACGGCAACTCTTTTGACATGCTGAGAAACCTCATAGTCCCAAAGCATTAACAGTCTGCAGGGCTCACAGCGCAAAAGGAGGCTCTGTAGTGTTTGGCACCAAGCAGCTAAGCTTGCTTAGAGGTGGAAAGGGTAGTTGATAGCTTGATTTTTTTTTTTTTCTTTCTAGTTTTCTGAGATCTTTTTTTCTTTGACATGGATAACTTCAACAGTTAAGAAGAGGTAATTATCTCATTGCTGAAGGCCTGTATTCTTTCATATTAACTTTAAAACATATCTGTGTTGCCATTTTCTTTAAAAGGAGCCTGATTGCAAAGGAATACCTTGCAATGAACAGAACTTTCTCTCTAGTTACACGCTGTATTTGAGAAACCGAAGTGGCTAAATATTTCCTTTTTGTGTCTCTGTGTTTTCATTGTGTTTTAGCAGAATGCAGTACAATATTTCTATTTTTACTATGTTTTTTTTAAACTAAATTCTGGTTTACGCATTGTCTGTGGTGGAAACAGCTGGAAGAGCTCATCGTGTATTTCTGAATTACTGTGATTACCACTGTGTTTAGATTCAGATCTAAGCAGAGCCTTGCTGGTTTGGTTCTCCATGTGGGCCTGTGCAACAGTTTACCGTCCTGTGCTTTGGTCTCAGGTCTGCAACTCTGTCATGGCTGCCTTGAGGTTTCGGGGAGTTTTCCATCAGCACCTAAGAACTGTGGCTGGCTATCCAAATTATTTGTACTCTCCTCATCTTAGTCAATTGGATCCGAGTAAACCATCTCGTACCTCCTTTGAATCATAGTCTTCAAAAAGGCTTTAGCCCCCATAATAATAGACTGCTGGAGTAGTCTTGTCACCTAGTTGCTGTCCTCTTATCCATGTTATTGCAGAATTCCGTGTCAGGAAAGGGAAGTTTAAGTAGTTTGCAATTTAATGGTAATTATGTTGTAACAGTAATGAAGTTAAGCAAATAAAGAAGAGAAAAATACCCCACTTAAAATCCCTGCCATAAACAACTACTACGGTGAGAAAGAGAAACCACGTAGTTAACCTGTGTCCAGATTCTCTTCTGCTGTTTCTGTTGTCACCCCCTTTCCCAAAGCAGGGCGTCTGGTTTTGCTGCTAACCGTTAAAAGCAAGAGATTTAACATCTGCTGACCTGGAAGTAGCATGCTCTGGGGGCTGCCTGTGCCGTTGCGGTTCAG